AGAACGTGCTGCGGATCCAGATACATCGCCTTCTACCTAAAGGTAGTTCTCAAGCATCATCGTTGAAAACTGTCCTCCTTGTGCTGGACAGAACGTACTGGCGAAGGCAGACAACGCATCCTACACGTGGTAGACAAGACGGGAATATTCGTTGCACGTGAGACCTGGTTGATCATATCACAGGTCCTGGCGCTTTTGGGACCAGGACGTACCGCGCGTTGGGAAGTTCACCTTCCGTTCGTTAGCAGCGTCACGGTGATGCGCCGCTATTGTCCGCCGATGCAAGACGCTTCAAAGACTTTCGAGTGGCAAGCGGCTGGTTTACTCACAGGTGTACAGGTATCCAGGTATCCAGATATCCCGGCTTTCCGAAGCAGAATATTCTACGCGTCCGAACACCCGTCTCCTTAGTCTCTGTCGGCATCACTGTGATGCCGCTGTCGTCTGTCGATGCAACACCTCTCGGCGAACTGAACTGAACTTGTGATGCCCAATTCCGACTGGGCACACTTCCGTGCCCGCTTGCCGATTGGTGCAGCGAAATCTCACACTTCGAAACTTGAGCCGCACAGCGCACGACTACACACAGTGGACAGCTCCATCGAGTCAAGACTCGACAGGCGGTCTTCTATGCTTCGTCGACGATTAGGAAGGTATTTCTCCGGCAAACGATTCGCACAACAAGTGTCAGCGCGGCACCCTGACCGCATCGTGCACTGGTCAATCTATCCCCACAAAAACGATACTTAATATGGCAAGTCGAACTCCTTCGCGTGCAGGTTTAACACAAGTCTAAGGCAGACCGTAGCTCGCGTGCTCTTATCTCGAGAAATGATATCACGATTGGCAGAGTTAGTGCAACTTCATCTTCTTAGCATCAACTTCAACGTCTATCCAGCTTCTTCATGCAGTATAGCTGCTCCCGCCCCTGTGGTTTGTGTCGAACTTGTATTGCGCGATGCAACCCTTTTACGACATCGCAACTGCCCTGCCTTAGCACAGCAGCACTATGCAGCAATGAAGCTCTTCCAAGGCGATTGCAGGGGAGCTTGTTGAGCTTGTTGAGCTTTGTTGTGATTTCCTGCTGCAGCAGTATAAAGTAGCTCTTCGCCATCGCCCAGTTAGTGTTTCTTCTCCGTCTCGATATCTCCTTTCGCCTTGATATATATCTTCACAAGCATGCTTGGCAAAAGTACATTAGGCAGCGCTGCGGCACTGCTGCTGTTCGCTTCTGAGGCTCAAGGTTTCTTGGGCGCGAGCTTGAAGAAGCAGTTCAAGCGCCAATACTATCCCGCCAATGCTACGGATGTCAAGACCGTCACCGTAAGGAACGCGTTGCTGTGAGCTTTGGATTCCGCTAACAGGCCGAACAGAGCCCTACTGGTGCTACGATCCGCTACAAGGAGCCCGGTCAATATGGCGTCTGCGAGACAACTCCAGGCGTGAACTCCTACTCCGGCTATATTGATCTTGCACCGGACGTCCACTCATTCTTTTGGTGAGCTTTGTGATATACAACATCTACAGCCCAGGTCTAACGAAATCAGGTTCTTCGAATCGAGAAACAACCCAGCAACAGACCCTATTACCCTGTGGCTGAACGGTGGTCCAGGTAGTGACTCTCTCATCGGTCTCTTCCAAGAGCTCGGTCCTTGCAACGTAACTGCCAATCTGACCACAATGGTCAACCCCTACTCGTGGAGCAATGTCTCGAACATGCTGTTCCTGTCGCAGCCAGTCGGAGTCGGTTTCAGTTACTCGGAAGAAGAGATTGGATCACACAACAACCTTACCGGTTCGTTCCAGAACGCAACACAGGCGCCTCCAGATGGTCGCTACCCAGTCATCGACCCAACGAAGATCGAGACCACTGACGCGGCCGCTGTCGCGGCATGGCACGTCATCCAGGGCTTCCTCAGCAACCTACCGTCGCTTGACGCCAATGTTGGATCAGCCGTGGCCAAAGAGTTCAATCTGTGGACCGAGTCGTACGGCGGTCACTATGGACCGGCCTTCTTCAACTACTTCTACGACCAAAACAAGCTCATCAGCAACGGCACAATCAATGGCACTTATATGAACTTCAACACTCTGGGTATCGGTAACGGTATCATTGACGAATACACTCAAGCACCCCACTATCCCGAATTTGCCGTCAACAACACCTACGGCATTAAGGCAGTCAACGATACTGTGTATAACTACATGAAGTTCGCCTGCAACATGATTGGTGGCTGTCTGGATTTGGTCAGCCAATGCCGTGAGGTCGAGGATCACACCGACCTAGCCGCCCACACGCTCTGCTCCGAGGCTCAGGACATGTGCCGCGACAATGTCGAGGGCCCCTACTATTCCTACGGCGGCCGCGGCGTGTACGACATCCGTCACCCCTACAGAGACCCTACCCCGCCTTCATACTTCGAGGACTATCTCAACCAAGCCTCCGTCCAGAACGCGCTTGGCGTGAACCTGAACTACACCGACGCCAACGACGACATCTACTTCGCCTTCCAGTCCACTGGTGACTTCGTATACGACAACTTCATCCGCGACCTCGAGATGCTTCTGGACCAGGGCGTGCGCGTGTCCCTATACTACGGTGACGCCGACTACATCTGCAACTGGTTCGGTGGCGAGGCCGTCTCCCTCGCCGTGAACTACACGCACAAGGCGCAATTCGCCGCCGCCGGGTACGCTCCTCTCGTTGTGGACGGCGTCGAGTACGGTGAGGTGCGCCAATACGGAAATTTCTCCTTTACGCGCGTCTACGAGGCTGGTCACGAGGTGCCGTTCTACCAGCCCGCGGCCTCTCTGGCGCTCTTCAACCGCACCCTCAACCACCTTGACATTGCTACCGGTGAGCTGCCCGTCATCGCCAACCTGACCAGCACTGGCCCCCAAACGCCACTCACACTGAGAGCTTCGTGCCGCTGCCCACGACTAGTAGCGTCACGAACACCGGCCAGAATACGACCGAGACTGGAAAGGCGGTGCTGCCGATTGAATGGAGATCCTGAAGAGATGGGTTGGTAAGGAATAGATGACAAGAGGAGGTAAGGAAGCCGGATGATGATTTGAATAGCGGAGAGAAATTGTATATAGGGGTTCATGACCTAATGAGAACGAGACGAATGAAAAGCACTCGCTTCTACAACCAAGTAAAGAGACTTGCGTTTACCCACATGGTGCATGTTAATACTTCAGCTGCTTCGCCGTGTAATTTGGGCTAAATTCATATCCTACTCATCATCCAAGCAGGTGAGAGAGCTATTCCTTTGCAGACCGGCTTTTATCGTCAAACATGTCCGAAAAATTTCCAGTTTTTTTGTCTCCCCTCCTCCAAGTTGTCGACATGGCAAAGTTGTGTGTGGACCAAGGCAGGCTCTGAATCTTCCCCGAAGGCCTACTTGTTCGGGCTCCCCTCACTGGCACCGCTTCCTCTCCATGCACTCAGAATCAAATCGACAATGTGGTCGACATTCTTTCCGTTCTTGACCTGCGCAAAGATTGTAGGGCCATCCTCCCTAAATCACCATTAGCAATTCCCAAGAGTGGAACCCTCACCACTCTCCCATAATGCCGACAGCACCTACCTCATCTTCCTAGCATCCCTCTCCATAACCCCCAAATCAGCGCCTACAATCTCCGCCAGATCCGTCTTGTTCACAATCAACAGATCACTCTGCGTGATGCCCGGTCCTCCCTTTCTCGGAATCTTATCCCCACCACTCACATCAATCACATAGATGATGAAATCCGCCAGCTCGCGTGAGTAGTTCGCAGCGAGGTTATCCCCCCCAGACTCAATGAGCAGCAGATCGGTACCGAACTCGCGATGCAAGTCGGTCAGCGCGGCGAGATTAGCAGAGATGTCCTCGCGGACGGCGGCGTGCGGACATCCGCCCGTCTCGATGGCACGGATGCGCTCCGCGGGCAGAGCCTTGTGCCGGGTTAGGAATTCGCAGTCTTCGCGGGTGAAGATGTCGTTGGTCACGGCGGCGATGTTGTATTTGTCGCGCAGGGCCAGGCAGAGGGCTAGCATCAACGCCGTCTTGCCGGAACCCACGGGCCTTTTCGAACCTTATCAGTAAACGGTTCGGGGTGTGGAGGTACGTGGGGGATCGGATCAGAAAGAAGGGCTGATCAGAAGGGGACATACCCACCAATGCCTACGGTGAATGCTCTCTCCTTCCAGTCTCGACCCTCGACTATAGGCATCTCTCGGCCCAGGAAGGATCCCGGTCCGTCGAGGATCTCATGCGTGTGGCCATGGTCTGCTCCGACGTGAGAGTGAGAGGCTCCGTCGTGTGAGTGCGACATGATGCTGGTTGCTGGTTTTGCGAGTGAGGATGTCGGGTGTCTTCTCTATCTTACTCGAGAGCTCTTATCGGATGTTTACCCCTCCCCCACTAAGCGGCCGGACCCTTGATACTGCAACGGATCTCGCCGTCGCTTGCCGCTGTCAGGCACGTGTCATCTGATTACTCAGCTTCCGAAGGATTGTCATTGAGGACACCTTTTCGTACATAGCTATCTACACACTAGCAACCAGTATTCAACACTAATCTCGAGCAAGAGCAAGTTGACGGAAGAGGAGTTGCTGTAGTCAATCACCACCCGGAAGTTGACCATTGGTGACCATAACGGTCGACATCCAGTTGGGCTCTTTCTCTGGCTGAACTTCAACATCCACATACACGCCTAGACACTGTCATTCCCATCCTATCTGGCCACAACACCGCGTGGAAAGTGAGGGCAAATCTGACACGAAAGATGAACATCTCATCAATATCAAAAGACAAAATGACCGGCCAGCGCTCTTTTGCCGGAACAATCTTAATAACAGCATCCCACAACAACCGAATGCGCATCAGGCCGGTGTTAGATGACGAGAACAGGCCCGATAGCTGCACCGAAAGGCCCTGCAAAATGCGATCACTATATATACGACATGATTCTTTGCAATTCGCCAGCACACCAAGCAACGTTTTACGTTGACATCTTCCTTGGTCTAGTGGTCATGATTTCCGCTTGTCAACAGATGATCTGATAGCAAGCGCGGGAGACCGGGGTTCGATTCCCCGAGGGAGAGTCTCATCTTTTGCGCTTCTTGCCAAATGAAACCTTACTTGCGCTGTGTAGTGTCACACCGCTGTACAGCTTTGCCTCCATTTGTCTTTCGCAGCACGTCGGTGAAGGCAGCCCTGAACTAGCGGCAGGATCGCGTGCATGCAGCTTCATCCCGGTACCACCGTACTGTGACTCGCATTGAGTGACATACCATCTGATCCTGACTGATGAGTATGCAGTTGGAGGCCGGAGATGCGCAGTTGAATACACCTTGTCTGCATCTTCCTCTTCGGTCATTTTCATATTCCAATCATCCCCTATGCCGTCTCACAGCCCATCCGTGTGAGACAAGCCAGGTATGGGCATTACCGCCTCCAAGGGGCGCCGAACGATCACTGATATGGAAAATTGTTTGGACTCGAATAGTCGTCGTTGCGGATGCGAAGGAGACTGAACACACGGGGATTTCATTCTTACATTTACAGTAACACCCTGTCCGTATGGTGCTCTTCTTCCCTTCTCCAACAATGGAGTCCTGCAAACACTCTACGTACTCATTAGCATCTGCACGGTACGGCAAAGATATACCTGCATCTACCCGAGGAGGTTCTGTACGCCTGGCGTAGCCTACCGCATTGAGAGACTGCAGTGGACCACGCAACATAGCCGTTGGATAGCTCCAGCCTGACTGTATCTGCAGGACCCGAGCACATCGACTTCAGTGCAACAAGCTTTGGTACTCCAACATGATGCACGCACCGATGGCGGAGGCGTGCCGCGCTTATAACGCAGGCGCGTCCATCCCTTGCAGTTGCACTCGTGCTCTGCCTGGGAACCTCAACGATCCGATCTGGAGTGAAGAGACAGTATCCAACGCGCCCATCGGCCGCGAGAGCGACAACTGCATATCACCTTCATGTTCAGAAGAATGGCCGCTCCTTTGCGGACTAGCACAGCGGAACGTAGGGGTTTGCCTGACCCTTCGAAGCTGTTGTCTGGTCTGAAGCCGCTGTACTATGATTCAAGTTGGATGAAATGGAAGATTGATGTCCTTTCTCCATCCGCGCTAGTCAAGGAGGCAAATGTGATAGAGGCAAATGGAGCGGGTGAGTAACTCACTGATGTTGCGGATGAATCCAAGGCCACCTCCATCCCCGTTCGGTAGGTAGTTCACAGGCATACCGATCCAGATCGTGAGGTAGCCAGCATACTTCATCTTCCGGCAATACGATTCATTGTGGTTGATGCAAGGCTCTATACATATTGAGGTAGGAGAAGGATCGATAATAAGGCGGCTCGGTGTATGTTCCCAGCGAGTGGACACGCCCTGTATATGAGGGATGGCCACCATGCATGTTTTCCATAGTGTTCTCATTACCACTTGTGATTCACGGAGAAAAATGCGGGGACATCGCGGGGAACCTGCCAAGGAAACAGCATGCTATGAGCAAGAGGGGAGAGAGAGGCGGCCGTTGTTGCGTGGTTCTTAAAATGCACGAGGAAAGGATAACGGCCAGACTGTTCGAAAAGGATGTGTTGACACGCCATACCTGATTTGGCCATAGACATCATACGCAACCAACCATCTCATCCACTTTCAAGGAATTCTGTCCGCTCAACACCATGTGATTTAATGTGCGTAGGCGTATATCACAGAATTGTATGTCTCTCCATTGACAGTCAATATGTAATTTTCTGCCGGACATGACTGGCCTTCCATCAGCTCGGACCCACGATTATTCCGCTGGTTGTGGGTGATGGTATTGTCTCCTACGACGATTAGGGATCCCCACAAAATCGTTCTTCAGAATATCTCTCATCGCATCATTCCCATCCTCTTGTCCAGTGACGACTACAAATCTCGCTCTCCCTTGACAGCGCATTTTCATCACTGTTGCCAGTGTACGCGCCAAAAGCAGCACTTGGTTCGACAGCACCGCCATGTGATTGCATTCAGAAGGAATTGTGCGGTCCCACCAGAGCGTCCTTGCGCCCGCTTCGGACGTAACGGTGGGCAGAGAGAGGTCGAATGTTATTACCATGTTACCAGATGCGGGCTGGAAGGTTTTCCAGCAGTCGCGCCATGCTTTGCTTAGAGGCGTGATGTCGATGTATTCGCCCGGCCAGATTTGTCTCGGTTTTGGATTCCGGCATTGAGACAACACATCTGGGTCTGCTAATGGTTCTAGCAGGTTGAGTTGGATATGTTGCGTTGAGTCAGGTTCTGAGGCTTCAGTGTTTGCTGTGGCAAGGGCTGCAAGAGCTGCTGGGCTAGAGATGATCTGTATCATGTCTGGGAATCTTTGAACGTATCTTGAGAAGCTTGTGAAAGTGATGGTGTTGTAATTGTACCGTTACGTACGGCGGGATTGAGATTACATGGTTTGTTGTTGCGTGAACTTGCACGGCCTGGTACCTGGAAGGATTTGAGCTCGTGGAGATCCCCACAGGAGTCATGCTCTCGCTTCGGCTCGGATCGCATCCCATCAGATCTGCGATCGGACATGCCAGCTCCAGCTTGGCCATACTGGTACTTCAAACTCTCTCTTTAACATGTCATCATGACCATCAAATGGACTCGCATCTTGAACGACGTCTACAGTGTTTGGGTCTAACCGTCGCCTCTCTGGGGCTGAACCATCTACCGGGTCAGGCCTACCATCGCTTGTAAGTACCCAAGTCATTATGCACCTACATGGCAGCTCGAGTTCGCGCATAGCGCAGACCGGTCTGCAAGAGCAGCGCAAGAGCAGCGCAAGCGCTCAACAGTGATCTCTTGGCCATCGAGAAGGGTTAAATTTCCCGATTGATCTGCGTTGCATGCATATGCAATACCAATTGCAGGCAAAGGTCACTCGCCGCTACGCCATGCCGCACCTAGGCCCTCCACTAGGTTGACACGCGGCGAACAAGCACAGCTAGTACCGCCCCGTCCTGCAGTCAATGGACAGCATACGTTTCTCCATTGGTCATTCTGCTTTGAGAAAGTATCACCGCTACCTTATAGACGCAGCAGCCGGGTGGAAAGGTATGGGTTTCTTGTGCTTCCTCTTCAGGTCTTCAGCCGCCCAAAACAGTGGTAGGGACAAGCTGCATGATGAACCCAGCTAGCCTGACCCATGATAGAAGAGGGGTAGGAGCAGAGCCTTGTATATCAATGGGTGTCTCAGCTGCAGCGACGCCGTGTATCGTCCAACAGGAACCCCAAGTCTCCGGCAATTTCATCCAGCCATCATGGTAAACACTACGATTTCTATCATCGTTTTAAAGAGCCTGTCGGCCATTTTAGGACTCTTCGTTGCGTACTACGTGGTGGAGTACCTGCGCTCCCCACTCAAGCAGTTCAATGGCCCATTCTGGGCAAAGTTCACCGATTGGTGGCGGGTCGTTGATACATCCAGGTTCAAAGCGCACGAAACTCAGCTGCGTCTGCACAAGAAGTACGGACCAGTGGTGAGGCTGGGACCAAACTGCCTCAGCATCAGCGATCCGAAGCTCGCGAAAACCATCTATGCTATCAGAGGGAGCTATTACAAGGTTGGTATTGTAGTTCCTCTGCAGTGATATCATGTCTTTACACTGACCCTGCGTCTAGACCGAGATGTATTCCGTGAATGACATCGTCCAGGACGGTCATGTCATAGAAAACATATTCAGTACTCGCGACCAAGACTTTCACGCCAAATCCATGCGTCCTATTCAGAAAATGTACACAATGAACGGCATTCTGACTGTGGAGTACTTGGCGGACAAGGCCATTGCCACGCTTTGCCGGCGGCTGGAGGAAGAATGTATGGATGGTAACAATGCTGATCGGATCTGTGACATTGGGGCTTGGTTGTTGTGGTGTAAGCAGTGTTGTTTGCTCACGCCGTATGCTTCTGGTTACCACATACGCTGATCCACCCTAGGCGCATGGGATTGTGTTGGCGAAGTGACTTTTAGCGAGCCCATTGGATTCCTGGAGGAGGGCGATGACATTAACAACATGCTCGAAACTGCTGAGAAGGCTTTGGAGTACTTTGCAGTGGTAAGTTGGCTTACTGCATTGTAATCTATTGATCATACTAACCCTACAAGGTGTCACAAATGCCACAGCTCGACAAACTACTGGCGAAGAACCCATACTATCGCATCGGGCCTCCATCCTTTGAAGCGGCTGGACGGTTTTGCGCCGTACGCTTATTCGGGCGTCTACAAGCCGAAAAGCAAACCGAGTCTGTTGATTTCCTAAATCGGTTTATCGACCTCAAGGACGAATACCCTGGTACTGTGACCGACAACGAAGTCATTGGCTATATGCTCATCAATGTAAGAAATTGCCGACACGGAGAGGTGCATATATCTGCAAAATACTGATCGTTGTCTTAGATTCTTGCCGGTGCGGACACCACTGCAGTCACTCTGCGTGCTATCATTTATTACCTCCTCAAGAATCCACATTGCCTAGCTCTCCTTGACAACGAGCTCAAGGCAGCGAATTTGCCAATGCCCATTCCTTACCGCGATGCAGTGAAGCTGCCCTACCTCAACGCCGTGGTCAGAGAAGCCATGCGCATACATCCCGGAGTCGGTCTGCTCTTAGAACGCTTTGTGCCAGCTGGCGGGCTCAAGCTCCCCGACGGTCGCTTTGTCCCGGCCGGCACGATCGTCGGTCTCAATCCTTGGGTCGTACACCGCGACACGGAGGTCTTCGGCGCAGACGCGCACGTATTCAATCCAGGACGCTGGCTGAAGGGCGATGGCGAAGACGAGGACGAATACAACGCACGCTTGAAGAGGATGAAAGACGCCGATCTGACATTTGGTGCGGGATCAAGGGTCTGCCTGGGCAAGAATCTGGCGTTGCTGGAGGTGTACAAGCTCATCCCGACTCTGTTCATGAAGTATGACTTTGAGCTTGCGGATCCGGATGCCGAGTGGAAGGTCAAGAACGTTTGGTTCACGTTGCAGGAAGGTATCAATGTCAAGATCCGACGGCGTTAGTGGCCCAGATACCCGCCATCTGCTATTTTATGGCTT